GGAGCACAAAGAACGTCAAACTAGTCACTAGAAATGGCGTACTATGACAACACCTCTTCTTTGTTTATTTCCTCCACAAGACTTACCAAATTCTAGTACTACACAGATTATGGTTCTCAACTTAAACGTCCCCCTTTCGCTCAAAGAAAGCCTTGTAAAAGGATGTTACGTATATATGATCGGAGGTATACGCCGAGATGCTCGCCTCTTTGAAAAAACTTCCCGCGCGCGCTCGTTTAAACAATGTCGCACTGGGGCGAGCTTTCTCCCAGCTATACTGGTGTTAGAGTCACTACGGAAATCCTGAAGGAATGCGACTTGTAGAGGTAGATGTGGTTCACAATGAAGGATTAACTTCCTCAAAAGGATATTTCTTAAGAGTCAGCGTTTGTCTTCTTCGTTAGGTAATGCTGTAACTACAAAACGGGGGAGGACGGGGGAGAGTGCAGTCTGTAGAAGGTTTTCTGGAACTGAGCTACGGAGGGAGACGATTTTGGAGAGAAAGGTTGCTCACGCACTTCGGAGCCACTCTTCTCCTTTGAGGCTCAGTCCTAAAAAACTGAGCGTTTCCATAACCCTAATGCAGTGTGTCGCATGCTGCCGTTCTCGCCCACCAAGCCCCACTGAGGATGAGTACTACATCTCTTATATTCTAGGCAAACTGGTGATATTGCTCTGCCTTTAAGGGGGCTGTGACTGAGCTCCTACTAATAAGTCACTGTATTCAAAACGATTTGCGCACTCAACATATTGCCGTCTCCTGAGAGCACATTGCTGAAACCCATGAATATCGGCAGATCTTCGTTCGGTGAAAATTTAAGGCAACCTTCTGATTTTCACCTGTAGACACTAATTAGTAGTCAAGTAGCTCTGGCAGTCAAGTAGCGTCCACTTATTTCCCGTAATGCAGTTTACGTCAAAAAATTATGTTGGAAAGTTCATCACAACTGTTCCTATGATTCCTCGCTTTTTCGTTTCAGGTATGTATTATTACTTTTGCTGAGGTCACTGACTGGTGAACAGTTTTTGAAAACACCGCTGTAGATATTTGAAAGGGTGATGGGCTTTGCTCTCACGACTTACTGGATGGAAGCACAAAATCCAAGCAGTTGCAGTGAAAAAATCCCCGATAAATCGCTCTGAGTTGCCTCCAGTGTGGACTTAACGAAGATTAGCGTCAACATACTGACATTTTATCATTTTCTTAAAAAAATGTCTTGCAAAATACCAATTCAATGCTACAAGAGATAGGAAAAACGATGATCGATTCTTGTGGGATCAAGAAGAGGTACATTTGTGGTGGTGTCTAAACTCCCATGCTTCCAATTCATTACCTTGCTATCCAAAGACGCTTCCTACCAGTACTCTCGTGCGAACGACCGCATCCCCTAGTTATCATTCCTGCTCTCCTGCTAGAATATCTATACTCTTGCCTGCGGTGGTACCAGTGCGGAGAGCAAACTCAAAATATGGGAAAAGGCACGAAATTGCAGTGTCTCCAATCACTCTAGCTAGTTGAATGCTCGCTCCAGTGCTACGTATATTTGAACGTGCGCGCGCGGGAAATTTTTTCAAAGAGGCGAGCATCTCGGGCCGTCCCCTATACGAGGGTAGGGGCTGGCCCCCCGACCCGCGATGCTGAATGTTGGGGCTCCCAGCAGAGTTTCGTCGCGGGACCAGGCGGCCACTGACCGGTCCTTTGATTTTACGATTACCTTTTCACCTTTTCCCTGTTTTATATTGTAAATTTGTCCATGTATATACAGCTATATTGTTGTAATTGCGTTAGTACATCCTTTGATTCATTTATATGCTGGATCGTTCGTGTACGTCTAGCTATATTGCCATAATCTTGCCAGTCTGTCAATTCACTACTTTAGACTGAAGTTTGGTTCGCGTCTTCTATTACTTCGTGTCACATTGGTGTATTACTTCAATATGGCAATGTGTGCGTGGACGAATCTGTAACCTAGAACAGTGAAAAGACAAAAACTTCATCACAGAATTAAAGGACTGGCCAGTCACCTGTAGGTCCCGCGACGAAACTCTGCTGGGAGCCCCAACATTCAGCATCGCGGGTCGGGGACCCCAGCCCCTACCCAACATTCAGCATACGGCCCCTGGTGCCATACCTCGATCATTGGGCAACTCATTCCGTAACATAGGAAGTTGGGACGTGACCGCAGACATTGCGTGCTACTCCACCACATGACTTTTTTTCATTCACGGGCTTTTCAAAATGGTGGTCCGTTCAGTTTTTTGCAAAAACTTTAGACTCTCACGAATTAATAGCTCTATGTTGGCTGACCGTCACAAAAGTTTTTCTTCTCGATCTCATTGTTTATATGAAATCGCTGCTCTATGTAAACATTTTCGCTGTTTGATTGACGCCAGTTTAGCACAACTACCTATGTGGGGCATAAATCTTCACATCAGGGCCGTATGCTGAATGTTGGGTAGGGGACGGGGATGGGTGAACGTTGGGGAGGTTCGTCGCAGGACCCTTCTGGGCAGCTGTCGCACCTTTGATTTTGCAGCTTTGTTTTCACCCTTTTACTGTTTCTGATTGTATATTCGCACGTAAATATCTTTCTTCATACCAAAAGCAGCGATGAAAGAATACAAACAGAGCTGCAATATTGAAGGTGCGACAGCTGCCCAGAAGGGTCCTGCGACGAACCTCCCCAACGTTCACCCATCCCCGTCCCCTACCCAACATTCAGCATACGGCCCCAGGTCCATGCTACATATCGCAATACGCGGGGGCTGAGATTATGTGCAGCTTTTCTTTTTTTCTTTTCTTCTAGCTAGCGTTAATACCGCGCCGTCGCAGGGTCCTTTGAAAATTGGCTTACCCCACTATTTGGTTTTGGGTTGCTTTTATCTCGTCTGAGACAGCCACCGAAAACATTAGTGGAAATTGATGTGGAGGCCGTGTTTGCGTGGGTTATGTTCTTGTTTGCAAATTGCGAATGCTGCATTGCCGTGTCACATTTTAAAAGTGTAGTTAAGGGAGAGACAAGGTCGCTGCAAAACTGGTTCCAATGACCCAGTTATATCGTTGCGTTGTGTTTTGTCGCCGTTGCTGATATCTGTTATGTCAGATTCTTATACATTGCAGATACTATGTCGCTTTTCAGTATGGACGGCGGCAATATGACTGGCATGATGGAGATGGTGATACATTTCCGTGAAAGGGAGGTGATCCTGTTTTCATTCTGGAAGACTGGAACGGTATCTGGTTGGTTTATTTTGCAATATTCCCTTTTGTCAACCTTAAACCTCTAAAGCCAGATATTTTTGGATCTATAATTCTCCATAGGATCTCAAACCTTAGCCTCATTTTCGTTGACAAAATTTCTGAACGGTTTCATTTCCAGCTCCATACATGTTCACTGCGCTGCCAAATGGCTTTACTAAGCAATGAAGTCAGTTAATAATCACCACAAGTCAACAAGCTAACGGTTGTCTGGAATATATCCTAAAGCAAGAATGTGTTTGAGTCGGTACTTTAGAATGAGCAGAGAAATTCAAAATGCATCCGTTTCTTGTGATAAAGAGTTGAGGAAAAGAACGGAGCTTGACAGAACACAAACAGGACTTACAAATATCGCTTTCAGGTATGGCTGTGTCGATGTTCATATCATTTCTGCTATGTATATTGGTATGAAGCGATCAAAAGGATTTCGCTTATTCTTAGCCGTCTATCATGTCAAGGTTAGTGCCTTTCCAGTCATTCTCTCCTACAAGTTGACAGTTTTTCTCTCTGCTCGGTTGGCCTGTATTCTTTTCATCGCTTACTATTTCGAATTATTATTTTCTGACATAATTCAGTACCTCGCCGCGGCGCGCTTACCACGCGAGCGGTCCGGGGATCAAATCCTGGGTCGTGAGTCGCCCGGGCCAACCAAGCCTTCCATCCCTCCGGGTCGGTTAATTGGTACCAGACTTGTCTGGGAGGATAAAAACACTGACTTGAACATCGGCTGGCCCCCGCAAGTCATTGTATAGGCCACATCGCATTCAAATGCCACTGCGAATGTACAAATGGAAGTAGAATGCGTGCCGCATCCCAAAACGGATTGATCAACGGCAAATGCTTTATCCTTTATCCTTTATATCAGCTACCTATAAATACTTCGTTGGGCTCTTTATGAGTTGTTTGAGCCGTTTTCGTCATAAAACGCCGCTACAAATCATAAAGGCATTTTTATGAAATCTGTATAGAATGGCTCAGTTTTAAAAGGAGCTCTGTCTTCTTAACGCGGGCCCTCTACTCTATCACTCTTTTTCTTCTGAATATCTGGCTTCCTCTGTTCTTGGAACAATTAAGTTGTGCATACCACCACCTGTTATCTTCCGTTGAAGAATCAGCAGAGATTCTTGCTTCCTTGAAATTCCTTGTCGAAAGAATTCTATTCCCGATTCTGAATAACAATAAGATCCGTAATTTCTTCTCCAACCTTTTGACCGACAATGCGGATATGCACGTAGCGTGCTCGTGGGACCACGCCCTCTTTTTTGGCGCTCAAACCCTCGCACACAACATCGGCCATTGTCCCTAAACCGTTTTCCTACCAACATCTTGACTTTGGCACTATACAAAATATGACTGCAGCATTAAGCTTTATGATCGTGTATTGTATACAGTCCCGTAGGGGAAGCTTCACAAGTGGGTAGCGGGTAAAAAAGTCCACGAAGTTCATATGATGCTAAGCAATTTTTAACTAAGTTCAAAACTCTCCTGTGTCTAAAACTAGGAAATATAAGTTGACGAATCTCACCAGCTCAATTCACCCTGCGGCTTAATAATGTAAGCCCTAGTTAATATGTCGCTGATCGAAGTGCCACATCTGAAATTTCAAATAAACTAGCTGTATCAAACATTTCTGTGAAATAAGTTAAGCATAGATGTAGCGAGACTCGTTTATAATTCCTGACATGTTGAAAATGATTCTAAATACGTAAGAAGAAATTCTTCCTAGGTGGCATCCCCTCATTCGGGTGCCATTGTCCCATGCGGAGTCATAGTGGCACCCACGCGTGGTGCATTGTCGTGCACATGATATTAACCCAACGCTGTATCCATTCTCTTCTAGGGTCAACTCCTTTTTATCATCTCTTGGTGGTATACCTTTGTTTCAATAGAAGAAAGACCCAGTCTTTCCTACCGGTTTTCATTTTTGCAAAAGGCTTCCCTACAAGTTTATTCAATTTTTGTTCATTTTTCAATTGTGTTCCCTCTGGCTTTCTGAAGTTCTCCAAGGCTGGTGTCAGAGTCCGCGACCCATCGCAGATTTTGCCGATTTTCGATTCCCGGAAACCTCTATAGGACTCGCAATAATTACAGGTCGCCCCATTTCGAACATTGAAACGACTTAAATATTGGAACACATAGGTGGCAAATCATGAGCATCTCATTCACCAATCAGCTATTCAGTCAGAATAGAGTGGCGGCGAGATGGGATAACACCTTGCCAGTATTGATCGGGACTATTAGTTTCCGGTGGGCGTCGCGTCAATCGCCGAACGAATGCGAAACGCTTTATCGGAAAGCACGAAACATGCGACGGCATCGCCGACTCTCTACACTAGCTGAAGGCTGCAGGTGCGAAAGCTGATCAGAGAACGCATCCAGACAATTGATTCATCTTATAATACGCAATCGGCGCCCCCGTATCGAATGTATATAAACGTGAATAAGCCTTATGACTAACTGATGAACTACATATGCCAGACATGATTGATAACGCTTTCACCTTTGCAAAAGCTGTCCTATCCCTCCCAATTGCGCTTTGAGGTGGCACGTAAAGTTTTGAAATGAATGCCTTGTATCGCTGTTGCATCAACGCGGCCCTAAGGTTATACTACCCTAAAATCCCATAGATAAGAGCGGTTTAATTTACCGGTGAAAAATGAATTGGAATGAAATTGAAATTGAATGCAGTCACCCCTCTAACTTGATGGATGGATAAATAAAAATCGGAGAAGAAGTTTAGAAGAAGCTCCGTCCCTCAACTCTAAACCCCGCCCACTTAATAAACAATTCATATAAAAATAGCGATTTTAACGGAATTTCTGCCGGAATCTCTCTAGAAATGCCGGAATTTGATCTCTGGATAGAACTTGAAGAGCCCATTCGATCAGTAAAATTCCATAGATAAGAGCGGTTTAATTTACCGGTAAAAAATGATTTTGAAAAAATATTTTTATTTTTATTTTATTTTTGAAAAAATATCTATGGACCGCTCTTATCTATGGGATTTTAGGGTAGAATGCGGGTCCATTAATAATTGATAATTAGTCGTGCTTTAACTAGTCGGGTTAGAACATTGCCGCATTGGCTCGGGTCATAACTTTACTAATCCGCACCGTACAGGGTCAACCCTATCGTTGTTACTTTTTGAAAATTTTTTACGACCCCCCTCCCCCAAGGTGGATTTGATACGACCCCCTTTTCCACACCTCAACCACCATCATCATCTCTATAGTATTTAATTCTGATACCACTCAACCCACCGCACCAATATTGTTGTGCATCTTTCTCGAAAATGCCGTCCAGCGCGGGGGGTATACACGCGCTGAGACCGGGCAAACTTTTTTCCTACGCCCCCTCAACAGGTTTCGCTCTTAAACTGCGACCGTGTTGACATTCGGACGAGCGATAGCAGTGGCGTACAACCCTGCCCTCCTACAAATCTGCATCGCCGACGACTCGCCCCCCTGTTTACTGGGTAACAACGGACTAGTGACAACGTGGGATTGACCGTGCTCGTATAACGTTCCTCGCAAGGTGTAGGTGGGATCATGATGTTGTCTTCAGCAGCGTCACGCGAATCCTGCTCTTACCGGATCCGGATCACAGTCACCACTGGCGGACTCCGGAGGAGATAATGTCTCTCAAGATACCATACCATTCGCTCCGATTCTACAAATAACGGGGTAATTTTGAAGCTTTTTGGGCTTATCAGTTTGCTCAATTTGGTCGTGATACTCACATGCGATTTCAATTGTAGCTTGACGAGACGAGTGTTTTCGAAGTTTCGTTTGGCTCAAGCTGCTCTATATGGCATTCAAGCTCTTCTTGCCTACGTACTCATGTTGATTGTGATGACATTCAACGGAAATCTCATTCTCAGTGTCGTGGCCGGTGAAGCTGTGGGTTACCTTCTCTTCACAGGAACACCATTTGTAGACTCACATTTGTCTAGTTGTTGTTGAGTTCCTCTTCTGGTTCCTTTGATTTTTCTGCATATACAATGGTTGATCTGTCGAACTTAGCCCTCCTTCGCTATTATATAATTTATTTTTTGCTACAGTATTGCGCTTCTGCAATTTATACATATTCGACATGCTTGGGAGGCGTATAATGGGTGATTTCAAATTTTGCAGTATTTCTCAAGCCAAAGTTGAGATTATTTAAAATCTGCCCATGTATAGTTCTCACTGTTCAGTGTTGTATCTCGTCAGTGTTTTCTTTTCTGACTTTTATCAGTGTCACGTTATTTTTTCTTGTTCAAGTGTTTTCATTTTGTCGAGTTTTTTGTTTTATCGTTTTCTTTAACTTTGTGGAATTTTCACTATACTTGTCAGCGAATTTTGCGCTACTTCTTTGTCTCTACGGTTTTTGTTGCGGGGATTATTTCGACCATAAAAGTGATACTTGGTGATACCTTAAGCGAATTTTCATTTTCGAGCGAAGCCTATTTATAGCAACTCTGCAGATAAATGTTTGCTTCCGCAATTATCTTTAGCATTGCAACATCGAAAGATGAAAAGGCTTTCGGCGTTGATCATCTTGACTGGGATGCGCCACACCTTCTGTTTTCATCTAGAATTGTAGTAGCGTTTGAATGGAATGTGGCTCTATACAATTATTATACTTGCGAAACCAAAACCAGCCAATGTAGCCGTCAGTGCGATTATTTTCCCCGACTTTCTGGTACCAGTCAACAATTGTTGATGGACAAAGAAGTAAGGGGTGGAAGCTTCAATAAAGGCCGATGTCAGACTTTGCGAATCGCGCGATTCGCTAGCGTCTGCGGTCGCGTCGCGGCCAGTGAATCACTCAATTGGCTGGTACCGCAACGCGACCGCGGACGCTAGCGAATCGCGCGAATCGCTAGTAGCGAATCGCGCGATTCGCAAAGTCTGACATCGGCCTATAAGCTTGGAGAGGTTCCGCGATCCGTGGACTAACTTGCCTAGCACTTGAGTAGAAAAAAAAAACAACCCCGCTTTGCATGGTAACTTCCATACACCTCCGCCCGTCATCTAGAAATGCTTCTTGATTGGCAGTTTGGTTGAAATTTAAGGTGCGCAGTTGATGCTTGGTCAATAGACATCGCGCGGGCAGTCCATCCCCAGTGATGGTGACAATGTTGGTTTCCTCTACTGTTGCGGGCACTGACTGCTGATTTCCCAAGATGTGGTAGGCCTGATTTGCTTGGACGAGGAAGGGGTCGAGATTAGATCCCTGCTCATGCATTTAACAGCGCGTCGCCAATCGAACATCGAATTAGTTTTTTCAAGGCATAGCCTGCGCCATTAACATTACACAAGAACTAAAGAACAGTTTTTTTTTCTGTTTTCATTCTTCAGTTCAATGTTTTCTTGCTAATCTTCACTGCTGCCGGCCGACCTGTTCAGATTGTAGGCGAGATATGGCGGACTCTCAAGAAAGTTTGCAGGGCAGCCTCATAGTTGAATGCATCCTTTTCAGTCTTCCGACGGGATCGTATAAATTGTGGACCCATAAGATGAACTGTGGGACCAGCCGATTTCCCAGGTGAGGCTGTTAGTATATAGGGTGAAACACAGCTGATGTAGAACTTCCATTCACCAAGCTTCCAAAAGTTCTTACGAACCGCTATATCAAACCCTTCTCCTTTCTCAATATGGACCCATACTAACCTTTGTTACTCCTTTCCCCTTCTACTACCCTTTTTTAAACGCTATCGCTGCTTAAACGTGGTTCGCTAAGGCATCATAGACATGAAAGCTTCAAGCCGAGGTGAATAACAATGCTCGAATGTAGAGCGTTAAGTGTGCGCTGAAAGTGCCGACCGCCCTGTGTACCCCGAGTGCAATAAATGTCGTCTGGGTCTCAGCGCGGGGCCACGTGTTCAGCATGCGTTGCAAACCTGGAATAGATTTCCAGCGCATTGCGGGGGCCAGACAAGATTCCCGATGGCGACTTAAAGCACAAAGGGATATCCCATTGCGAATAGCGTGATCCTTCCGCATCCAAATCAGAAGCTGAAAGTTTTCACTCCACACTGGATGCTTTCTTGTTTACAATCACATCAGTTGAAGTTTTTTTCTCGAATATCTTTTATTTGTTCATATTTTCATTCTGGACGCCAGATAAGTTCAAACCAGGAAGCTTCTTACCACTCACATTGGATCGGATCGATTCTTGCTCACGCCAGTTGAGCCATCCACCTTCTCAGGGTCACAACAGCCTTATTCAGGAGGGCAGAGTTTACTAATAAACTTTAACAAATCTCGTTACTTTTTGGAATACGTCTACGATTTAGAGTGATGGTCGAGTGCGTGGCGCAGTCGAATTCGCAGTCAAAATTCACGAAACTGGGCCATTTTCTTCGATGCTATTTGTCCTACGAATGAACGGGTCTCGAAGTTCTGTCCTGTCCTTAACTTCTCTGTTGATGCTGTCTGCAAGGCCAGGCCTTGTCGCTGTGCAGGGCAACAAATAACGGGGTTATTCGGTGTTTTGATGTGATGACACAGCGATGCCGCCGTGGCTGCCATCGAATGTGTTCGTCTTTCCCACCCTAACGGTGACAACGGTGTCTCTTCTCAAATTTTATCCGCTTTTTGCCTCGCATTAATGTAAAACTTTACAGAATTTTTAATCTGCATTTGTAAATCTAGCTGTCCCTTACAACGACTTGGCAAAAGAGAGGGTAGAGCGGTCGATGTCTATTCAGTGCTCCTATTTCCCTTGACCTCCTGGAATAGTACTGATTTGTCCAATCGCAGAAGGTAGAGGGCGTAGAGGGCTGTCATAGGCTATTCAGAGCCCCTGAGGCTATAATCCTGGAACACTCATCTGGTGCAGGGTCAAACCTAGGTAAAGTTCAACGAGGGGAGATAGTGGAGGGTGGCGAGTCGTTTTCTGGGCCCTGAGGGAGTGAAGGTTCTGTATTTAGCAGAGACGGAAACGGGATTTTTCCGCGAGGTGA